GTCGCAATGTCATAGGACTATGTGTTCCATCCGGTAAAGCTGTTGTACTGTCATTTGCCTTGTGTTCAAGCTTGATATCATATATCAAAGATTCAAACAAATCGATCGCAGACCGAGTCGCTGAATCACAGTTTGAGATAACACCCCTTATTAATTCTAAACTAAGAGTGGTCGACTCTGGTGTAGTTGGAGACGTCCAGGCGTCTAATACATCAGTATCCACTGACTACGAGACTGAAATACCAAATATAGAATATACTACCCATGAAATGCCAGTTGATGAAGAGTCTTCGTTCCACCATGATAACGGAAGCAACAATGATACTTCGGGTAATAAAGTGGATGAGTCTTTTGTGTTCATCAATGAAAATAACGTTGAAACTGCAGATACTCGAAATGATGAGTAATTTATGTCCTATGACATGAACGATGAAACTTCCGGTACTGAAGATGATGAGTCATCTATCTTCAACAATGAACGCAACGCAGAATGCTTTTTTTGTTTATTATAAAAATTATAAAGACTCCATTAAGAACAAATGTTTAATTTCAATTACCTGTTGCAAAAAAAGGCCTTTTTAGTACCATGTCATATTGTATTTTTTTAAGGCCCCACCTACAATAGTAGAGGGACATTATGTGTTTCGGTCTGTGAGTTCGTCCGTCTGTCCCGCTTCAGGTTAAAGTTTTTGGTCAAGGTAGTGTTTGATGAAGTTCAAGTCTAATCAACTTGAAACTTAGTACACATGTTCGCTATTATATGATCTTTCTAATTTTAATGCCAAATTAGAGTTTTGATCCGAATTTCATGGTCCACTGAACATAGACAATGATAGTGCGAGTGGGGCATCCGTGTACTATGATGACATTCTTGTTCTGTTTCAAAAAACTAAATTTTTTGTCATCAGATCCTTTACTTGCAAGTACAAGAAATATATACAAATCAATGTTTTCCATATGTGGTGCAAGAATAATTTCTAAACAAACATTTATTTTTATTGTTTTGTATTCATCCCAATTATATAATGTCAACCAATGTTTTTGTGAATTTTTTTTCATAAATATTTGGCACAAGGCAAGTGACTTTGGCATTATTTTTGATACTAAAATGATCAGTTATAAGATTATGGATAAGTTATGCTTTGAAATATATGCATAATTGATACACTGCTCTATGTATGATGCTAACTATTCTGACAGATTTTGAAGATTAATGAATCATTTATATTGTGCTTCAACTACACCTATTTTGACTGACAATCAAAGGGACATAACTCCTATAAACATTAATTTCTGAAAGAATTCTGTGTATGACTCAGGAATAATATTTTTAGATTACTATTGATTTATATATAACACTATGCTGTTCTTTTCGATAACATTTTTGGGGATCATACAAGCTTGTAATATTTAAAAGGAAAGATTTTATTCATTTTATCTTTTCATTAGATGAATTTAAGGATTTCTACAGAGGTTATGTGATGTCATAAAGCCAACTTAATTTTGTCGAAATATATTTCTGATATATTACAGTAAACAATTCTTATTTGAAAATCTTTGAATTAATTTCTAATAAATGTGTTAAATTATAAATAGCTTGGAAAATAACAATTTTTGTCTGACCCTGACAGACTAATTCACATATTTGTCTATTGCTCTGTTCTACTTTTTTCCTTTATTTGATTTTTAATCATTTCTAAGAAAACATATTCAATGTTTTTTTTCGGATATTGAAATGATGAAAAATTTTAGATATCTATATCAGTGCTTATTTGGTTTACAGTTTTGTGGTCCTTTGTCATTTTTCACACTCTCTCATTAATTGTATAAAAAAGCATCTAAAAATAAAATAAGTCTGATCGACAATTTGCCGAAGTACATGTATAAAGATATTTAATGGTACTGGTAATTGTGTAACAATTTTGTGCAAATGTGTTTGATGGAACTATATTTTGAACTTAGAACCAATTGACCAGTCTTTAAGAATGCTACACTATATGTAAAGATACCAGTTCCCCTTTTTAACAAAGGTCAGTATAAATAGAATGTTCACTTTTTCCGGAATTTTTATGGATAGATTGAATCAGATTTCTTTGGTAATATTTTATTGACAAGTCATCCGAGTCACCATGGCTGGTAATATGAGGCACCACATAGAATGGAGCTCCATAAAAAAATTTTAAAAAATGGCAATGCAAACTGGTTCATCTTATTTCTCAAGTAGAAACAAGTACAATTGAACCTATTAAACTGAGATCAGAAAATGAATTTTCGATGGTAATTTTAGACATGCTGTATGTCCTTCTCTAAACAACCGCCATATTTCTATGATTATCATGTTTGTTTTAATTAGTGATCAGTATTTTTAATTAAAAAATAACCAATCCATAGTCTTCTTGTTTTCTTTTTGCTCACTTTGGCAGTGGTAACTGGACAGTTGTTTTATCTATCATGTAAATAATGTCTCTGCTGCAGTTATAAATCTAAAGTGCATGTAAAAGGTCTTGTTATGGCAAATAAAAATACACATATATGGTTTATGAGTGGGAATCTTATATGTTTTCCATATAATAGATTATGATAAGACAAGTATGGGGCAGGGCATGTCCATCAGGAACAAAACTATGGTAATCTTGAATGTTCTTAATAAGCCAATGAAAACTATGTCGTTAAGGGGTGTGGACCTGAACCATTTTTATGTATTCAACAATTTATAATTTGAGGGGTCGGGGCTTTTTCTCTCCCCCTCGACAAACCCTTAGTTTCATTGAAAGGGTCTTCCCATGGTAAGCAAGAATGTAAATGGTTTGTGGGTGGATATAAAAAAAAAAATGAATTAAATGACCTTGAAGGTTAACGCCATACGTTATCTGCCTATTACGCGACACATCGTCTTGAGGTAGGGCATACATGTGCCAAATATCAAAAAGCTTATTTCAAAGAATAGAAAAAATATGTTATTACAAAGTTCAAATTCTCAATTTTAGGTAATACTCCTTCATGTAAAACATCATAAGCCAGTTTAAAAACATAAAAAAAGAGTTATGACCTTGACAAGATTGTATGAGAAAAACTTGAAGTAAAAGAAACACAACTTAAACATAATGTCCACCTTCTTTGAAGAGGAAACCAAATTCAGATGAATCGGTACATATACATTCTTAAACTCTTTAAACTTGACCAAGTATGAAAGTTTGGAATAGAAACAGGATTTTCAAGGAAAGTGACTAGATAAAACGTTTACGGATACAGACACCTCATCCATTGAAAAGATAAAATGTACAAAATACAACATCAAAAACTCAGGCAAAAGGAACCCCTTAAAAGCGCAGCAATGGATTAGACATTTTTGAACTTGAAACTTGAAGGGAGTTGACACTTGTTAGTTCACAGACATCTTATGGACAATGTAAATTCTTTAAGCTTATCTTTGGAAAAAGTAGCCGCAACCAGTGCAACCAGTCCTGCTGTCTTCTAATCAGAAAATGTACTTTAAATGGTATTTTTATACATGCTGTATCTCTTTCTCTAAACATAGTACTACAACCACATATTAATGAGCTCTAACCAGATAGTGAACCATAAACAGTATTTTTAGACGATGTACTGGTAATATATCCTTCTCTAAAAATTGCTTAGTTTAATCGTTTAGTTTCGATCCTAAAGAATTAAATGGGTCCTTGCATCATTTCACTATTCAAAATGTCAAGATTAATTTGGATAAAGGTCAATGAGACAGCATCTAAAGACCACAAGTAAAGAAATTGGAACTCACTAATCTATAGTCTTCTTAATAGAAAACATCCATACTGTATAACATGCGCCCACATAGTATGAGAAACAACCACACGGCATGAAGGGCCTTAAACCACCATGAAAATATAGATTTGGTGCGTTCGACTCGCTTTCTTGGATTTACCTTCATCAGGAAATCTATAACACAAAATGTGAATAGATGTACCAGATGATCACAAGAGGGGCTAGGTGACCTAGTGGTCTAAGTATTTCATCTGCAGTGATCAAAATTGTGAAATACGATTTTCATTTTTAATGTTTTTACAGAAAAAAAACCAATATTTCAACTAGAACACAGTAGGCAGGATACACCATGGCACAATGCACGCAGTTAAAGCGTAATAATTGTTCACCTTTTCACAATGTGATTATAAATAAATAGACCTTTAAATTAAACAAATAATTGGTTTACCTTTAAAGATTCTATTATTGTCGGTCAATCTGAGATTATACGAAATAGAAATTCTCAGAATGTAATACCCTATTTCAATTGATCTGATTTCGTAAAAGTGAGTTGGTTTATGTTTGTTCAAATTCTGGAAGTGAGTAAAGACATGGTAGAAACTTATCATAATTTAATAATAAATAAAATTTTGGCGATAAAGGCACAGGGAGCTGGCACTGGTTGATATACATAGATATGTTTACAAGTTTGTTAAAGATTATAAACAAAATGGCACTCTTTATCTTAAGTTATAAATATATGTGCTCAGTTCCTTATATTGTTTGGTAAAAGTATTACCATGCATTGAAATGATTTTCTTTTTTCAAAAATAAAATGGTTATAGATAATGCAAATATTACTTGTTTATACAACGAATACTTGTAACACTCTCACATCTGTTTTCATGTTAGATATATCCAAACATTGCGGCTGCCTAGTTCTTCGCAGAAATCAGCTGCTTTCAAAAGGGCAGTTTGACTTAGTTTAAATATATAAAAAGTTATGTACCAAAATATATATTATTTTAAATAAGTAAATGGATAAATAAATGAATTCACATGAGGAATGAATGGATGAACGGCACCTAAAACACACGTACAAAGATTTGGGTAAATCAGTTTAAATACTTCAACAATTTAAATATCTCTTTATGTCGATCCATATTTTATATTTATATAAATAGACACACGAATAAATGTTTTACCTTTAAAATATTCTTTTATTCGTGGTAATTAAGTCGATAAACGTATAGACATTAAATTCTAAGAATGTCATACCCTATTTAATAACAATAGAAACGATTGTCAGCTTTCCAATATTTAAACCTGTTAAAAAGAGGCGAAATATACAAAAAGGGACATTCAAATTCACAAGTCGAAAACTAGCTTATATCCTGTTTACTTGAAATGAATGGCATCCCGATACTACACACTTGGCGTGAAGTCTGATAGAAATGTAAGTATGAATTCTTTTTATGTAATTGTTATTCTAGGAGACAAAGAAAAAAATTGAATGATGCATGATTTCATGACTATATTAAATGATAAAATACTGGATGTGTTACTTAGTAACACGTTAATTTCGATTTCTTTTTGCAGTTGAAGGTGAAGTAAATGTGCATTAAGGAGGCGAATATTGTAACAGTTTCTAATGTTGTTTATCTTGTAATTAGATTGACAAAACGGCTTCACCTTTAAATAAACTCCACGATTGCAAGATATACTTCTATAGAAAGAATTGTCCACCCTTTTAAAAAATATAGTCCTAAGTATACTAGTAACTAAAACTTTGATGTTTAAGACGCGACGTTTCAACTCAATATGCAGCAAATGAATTCTATATTTTTTGTAAACTTTTGGAATATCTGTTCATACTTTGAAATGCTACCTGACGAGATGGACCACAGCAAATGTGAATGATATGTTTTTAGACGCTCAAGACTGTATCGGATATGTTGGTTTTTTAAACGCTCAAGACTGTATCGGATATCAGTTGGTTTACTAGAACTGTAAGCCCTGTACATATTTCATAATTGGAAATTAATTAAAAAAAAAAAAAAAAGAACGAAATGCAATGTTTTTTTTATTGTTTTTAATATGAACTGTCCTTTTTATTTCGTTGAAATTGAGAACCCAAAACAGATTAGGGTAAAAAGTAAGGAGACAGTAGTTTGTCGATTTTTAAATGAGATCTCTCATTTACATGTTATTACTTTGGTAAGTGAGCAAGACGTTGTTGAAACCTTTTATATAATAGATGAACAGCCAGAGATAACAGATCAACATATTTCGTGGATAATTACATTAAGAGAGTAGAAACTAGTTGAAATTCAAGTCCAGTTAAGACCATAGACATAGTGGTTGTGGTTACTTTTCAGTAATGAAAATTCAAACACTATAAATACAATTCGTGTTTACGCAGGTTACGTAGGTGTTAAAGTATTGCTTTTCCTTTTAAAAAAATAAATAAGCTTTTCCATTAATTCTGGATACTACAAATATTGTTCCGCATAACAATAGGTATATCATCCTTAATTGATAAATGCATATAAAGGAATGAATGGATGACTGGTTAAATGGCCAATGACATGTTATGTATATAGATATATATCTTTTATTCTCGTTAGATCTGTAGCTATACAAAATAAAATTTAAATTCTCGGAATGTCATACCTTATTTTATACCTGGAAATAGTATCACTAAACAAATTATTTTCCAGGTCATTCTTATAATAGGTTATTGGTGACTTTGAAATGATTTCTTGTTAATTAGTTAGTTTTCCGTTTATTAGAAATAAATATCTTCAGGTCACTTGTCGTTTTGTTGCAATGTGAGTTATTTTAAAATAGCTTTAATTTTCACAAGATTTCAATATAATACATGATATTGTTGATTGGGATAAAGTTCTAATGAATTCAATGCTTTAGATCTTTCGCCAGTTTAAGCCACAAAGTATTTTAATGTATACCGCAAGAACAAATTTAAGTGTTAAATTAAGGAGGCGGTAGTTTACCGATGTTCAAATCTCGTAAATCGATTAAGAAGAGATTAATCAAGGTACCAAATAGAAACTGAGGGAATCAAATGAACTCCAAAAAGAGCTAGACCTGGTGCGTCAACAAAGTTCGACATGAATGCATCACACAAACTGGGAATCACATTAAGTTAAAATGTAACTATCGGGAATAGGACACATTCGGTAAAATTAAAAAAAAAAAGATCTTTGAACGATACTTTCGAATAATTCAACAATTAAAGGTAAATGATATAACACTTAATACATATAATGCTTTCGAGTAGCTTTTGTTTATTAACCTTTTTCATGCTCATTAACTCTCAAAAACTAAACAAAATGGGTAAATATCCAAGGAGATTCATCTACGGTAAATGTTGTGTGAGGAAGTTGAAAATTATTGTTTTCTTAGAAATTTCTTAAAACTTTATCAGCGAATAAAAAAGAAATGTTTGTAAGGAATTTGTGCATATCCGTTCAATTCCACAACAACTAAGAATATAAATAGATGAATAAATGAGTAAATGACAAATTAAAACATAATTGAATGTATATATTCATGATTTAATTTAAGCAATACATTTATTTATTCCAGGTATATCAATGGAACGTTATAAAGACTTCGAATTTATGATTTTGCAATATCAATTCAAACAAATAAAGAAAATTTAATCACAATGTAAACCTGATAAATCGATTGTTGTGTGTTTATAAATGATATGTACATGTACCATTACCTATATTTTCATTTACATTTAAGAGTTTTTAAATAGTAAAAAATAGACTGGTTTTGAAAAGAATACAACATATTATCATTGTAATTAACAAAAACTTTTAAACTATTCTTTGAAATTTATAGCAGTTTTTACTACAAATAAAACAATGTTAAAATACCTTTTTTGTTGGTAAAAAAAGAGGGTATAAAGCTACTTTCGATTTTATTTTTCAATTAAATGTATTATGTATTATGAGAGAGTAATGACGAGAGCGAACATTGTTTAAAATGTTTAAAGAATTTTATTTGTCATTTAAAACTCAGTAGTGTTTTAAATAAGATTTCTAACTGGTCGACTCGAAGTGAGAATAATGTGCCCGGTTAGGGTGACATGTCTTCCTGTGGACTGTTAACTTTTGAATAGCTGGTAGGTCTCAGATAAAGCACGGGTCATTTTCATGGCACGTTAACAAGTTTTCGTCCAGATTTGCTTGTGAGATTTGCATCTAGACTTTAAACGCCAGTTTATTATCATCATGTTTTTAGTTCGATTGCCTTAATTGTGACCAATGGTAAACCAAAAACATAAATTATTAGATAAACTTAATCGTTTTGAAAATACACCAGAGACTTATCATCGAATTAGTTATTTCCACAAGACGATTGGCATTAGTGGAGCAGGATCTGTTTACCCTTCCGTAATACCTGGTGTTGTTTATGTTGCTCAGTCTTCAGTTTTATATGTAGTTATTTGTAAACTGTTTGTATTTTAGAACTAATATAGATCAAGATATTCATTTTTCATATCGAATGTTTGTAATCAACTCCGCGTAGATTTTAAATGGGTCACTTGAAATTGCATTCAGCAAAAACAGCAACAAGATAAATAAAATGTGGGTATATCAATATTCGTGGATACTAATTTTCGTAGATTGAGAATTTTTTTTTTTTTTTATATCAAGACGAAATTTGTACCTTAATGAATACTTGAAATCGTGGTTTATTCATGCAAATGAATAATCCTAAATCAACATTTTTACAGCGTTAGGAATACATGTTTTATAATTGATAGTTCAATAAAAATGTTTAGGGGAAAACAATTGAATTTTGTTTCTCGTAAAATTAATTTATATACTTGTATTCAGATTTCCGTAAAATGAACGGCAAACAACAACAAAAACTGAAAAAAATATTATATTATGTATCAGAAAAGCTGAAAACACAACACATATTCAGATATCATCTGATTTAAATTGTGATAACAATATCAGTTATCAGAAGTAGTCTAAATGTATATAACTTATTTAAATCCATGACACAATGTGAATAGTTGTTTGTTTTTCAACAGCAATGTTAACTTCAAAGATCATATCACGGATTTGTATCGAAGGTAACAGAATTCAATAGACTTGCTCAGTTTCTTCTGACGACATTGAAGAGAAGTGGTGCAAAAGGAAACAAGAATTACGTGAATGTCAGCAAGAGTGAACTTCAACGTATGTTAACAATTCTGAACTCAATCGTCACAGATTCTGGAACATATTATTTTCAAAGTTAGAAAGGTGCTAATGGAGATTCCAGTAGCAGTTAAAGGTAATTTTGATACTAAGATAATACTATATTTAAACATTATTTCGTTTTCTGGTATTCATTTACGACTAAACCAAATTTTAAGGCGATTTTCTAAATAATGTAAGTAAAAACCTTTACTTTTAGTGTATGTTTTCAAATGGTTACGAGTATGAAGTTGAATTATTATAAGGAAACGTTTTATTTGAACAACATGTTAATGTTGTATAACAAAACGATTGCAGACAAATGCAATATATGACTTGAAAATATCAAATTTATTTGTACGAGCTTTAGAAAAAGATCGAAAAGCAACGATTGCCGAGCTTTTCTTATGTTTCGTAGCGAGTACAAATGGATTTTATATTTCCGACAAAGTAAATTTTTTTTTATCCTGCAATTTATACCAGGCACCTGAAGCTTTAGTTGATTTAATCCAAATAGTTGTCTGTGATTCTCAAAGAAATCAACATAGTTAAAACGCGGACCGCGAATAGGACCCCAAAATGAACTTTTACACAAAAAGAAATATTCACATTACCGCTTTCTCTACATTGAAGCGGGTTAACATGAAACTTTATTTGTACAAGTACGCATTTAAAATTCTTCATCGTTTTGTGTCTAGAATTTGAAACATAGTAGTTTAAACTTTCTTTAAATTTGTAATTTTTCATTTTCCGGTTTATATAAGAGATATTTCATAACAGCATTTGTAGGAAAGACTTAACGTATGATTTTTGTGTTTAACCGAAATATATTTTTAATGGTTCGTTTGAAATTGCATATAGAAAAACATCAACAGTATAAATTAAATGTGGGTATATCAAGATTCACGCAAACCAATTCTTCAATTGTGGATTGATTACAAACGAGGTTTCCGTGGTTTTTACAAATTATTTTGAAGTGAAGAAGAAATTTGTAACTCAATGGATAATTGTAATCGTGGTTCTTCCATGCTAATGAATAATTATCAACCCACATTTTTACAGCGTTAGGGGTGCCCGTTTTTGTTCTGTAAAAAGGTTCAGAGGGAAAAATAGTCAAATTTTGTCTAACTCAAAATTGGTTCATATACTTGTATTCAGATTTCCTTAAAAAGAACGGCAAACAACAAAAATACTGAAAAAAATTATATGTATTAGACACGACTGAACACGCAACCCATATGCAGATATCATCTGATGCAAATCGTGATAACAATATCAAGCATCAGAAGCAGTCGAAATTGATATGATTTATTTTAATCCATGAAATAAAATGGTACGTTGACACATTGTAAATAGTTTAATATGTTTTTCAACAGCAAACCACGGAATTGCATCGAAGGTAAAACGATCAAATTGACGTGCTCAGTTTATTCTGATAACGATGAAGAAAAGTGGTTCAAAGGGAAACAAGAATTACATAAGTGTCAGAATATAATTATCAAAAAAGGAATTCAACGTATGTTAACAGTTCTGAACTCAACCGTCACAGATTTTGGGACATACTATTTTAAAGTTGGAAATGTACAAATAGAGTTTCCAGTAACAGTGAACTGTAATTTTAATACTAAGATAATACTATTAATACATGATTTCGTGTTCTGGTATTAATTTGCGCCTCAACATTTTTAAGGCGGTTTTCTAGATAAAGTATGTAAAACCCTTTGCTATTAGTCTGTGTCGTCAAACGGTTACGACTTTGAAGTTGACAAATTGTAAGAAAATTTTAAATTTGAATTTATGATAATGTTGTATAACAAAACGATTGCATACAAATACATTATACGACTTGTACATAGGTGGAAAATATTAAATTTATTTGTTCAAGCTTTAGAAACAGGACGAAAAGCAAAGCTTTCGAGTACAAATGAATTTCATATTTCCGACAATGTGCATATATTTTTCTATCCTGCAATTTACACCCAGCACTTGTAGCTTTAAGTATTTAAATCCGTATAGTTGTCTCTGATTTTTCAATGAGATCAACTTAGTTTAAAAATTTACCGCAAAGTGAACCCCAAAATTAACTGTTACGCAAACATGTACACACCGCTTCCTCAACATGGAAGAGGGGTAACATCAGACTTTATTTGTACAAGTACACATAAAGCAAAAAGTTATTTGTGAACCTGCTGTCTATACAATAGTTTGCTGATTACAGGATAAAGGGTAAACCATAAACGTTAATATGCAATCAACTCCCCCTATTGTGTTTAACCCCAATTCCTGAAACTTTAGAGAACAATTCCACACATATTTAAAGTCTTCAGCATTTTTTTTCTATAATTTGAAACATAGTAGTTTAAACGCTTTTAAATTTAAAACATTTCATTTTCTGTTTATATAAGATATATTTCAAAACAGCACTTGTAGAAAAGACTGTACGTATGATTTTTGTGTTTTATCGAAATAGTTTTTAATGGTTTATTGAAAATTGCATCTAGCAAAACAGCAACAATATAAATAAAATGTAGGTATATCAATATTTGAGGATAGCAATTTTCGTGGATTGATTACAAATTAGGTTTACGTGGTTTTTACAAATTATTTTTTTAAATGAAGAAAAAATGTGTACCTCAATGAATACTTGAAAAAAAAAATTTTTAGTGCCAATAAATTATCATTAATCCACAGTTCTGCAGCGTTAGGGATGCTTAAAACTGATTCATACACTTGTATTATGATTTCCTTATAATGAACGCAAAAAGCAAAAAAAAATAAAAATTAAATGTTAGGCCTCCCTCTGAATTTGAGGTAAAGAACATTAATACAAGCGCTGTTCCTTTGTTTTTCTATGATAATAAAAGACTGAATTCGCAACACATATGTATATTTCATCTGATGCAAATTGTGATAACAATATCAAGTATCAGAAGCTGTCGAAATTTATACATTTTATTTTAATCCATGAAACAGAATGGTACATTGACACATTGTGAATAGTTGTTTGTTTTTCAACAGCAATGTTTACTTCAAAGAGCAAACCACGGATTTATATCGAAGGTACCACGTTTCAGTTGAGGTGCACAGTTTATTCTGATAACATTGAAGTGAAGTGGTACAAAGGGAATCAAGAATTATATGATTGTCAGAATATATTCATAACCAAGAGTGGAAATCAACGTTTTTTAACAATTCTAAAACTCAACCGTCACAGATTCCGGAACATAATATGTTAAAGCTGAAAAGGTGCAAATAGACATCCAAGTAACAGTAAAAGGTAATTTTAGGTATAAATTTGAATCTTAACCCGGTATTACGAAGGTGTTCGAAAATAGTAAGTCGAAATCTTTATTTTTAGTTTGAGTCGTCAAATGGCTACAGGTATGCAGTCGAAACGCGATGAGAAAAACTTTTTATTTGAAGTCATGTCAATTTGTATAATAAAACGATTGCATACAGATCACTATTCTGATGTCGAATTTTTCCTAAGGAAAACGCTTTTTGGTGCCAGTCTCAGTTAAATTTATAATTCGTTTGTGCTGTCTTGGTGTGTTGTCGTGGATTCATTGGAGGTGTCCGTTGTTATTCTGTGGATTACATGTTGTAATGTAATATTATATTATTTATTTATGTGTTTCTCTGTCCTGAGTGTTCTTGCGTTTATATGTACTGTATTTCTGTCACGTAATGTTGTCATTTTAGCGGTATTTTTAACATTGTCATATAAGCGGGAGGTTTGGATAGCCATAAAACCAGGTTCAACCCACTATTTTTTCTTAAAATGTCCTGTACCAAGTCAGGAATATGGCAGTTGTTATCAAATAGTCCGTTTCTATGTATGTTGGCGTTTGTTTTTGTTGCAGTTTCAGTGTTTCTGTTGTTCCGTTGTTTTCCTCTTATAGTTGATGTGTTTCCCACGGTTTTGGTTTGTGACCCGGATTTGTTTTCGCTTAATCGATTTATGACTATTGAACAGCGGTATACTACTGTTGCCTTTATTTAAGAGAAGTGTATTTCATTACAAAATAGCTTCAATCATATTATTGTTAATGCCTTCGTTGAACACTATTATAATTACTTTTTAGATGGTGCTTATTCCACTTTAGCTAATGTTTATATTTTTTTAGACAGTTTTGACATACTGACCTTGACTCTGACCTTGGCTCTTTTGAAAGTAAGATATTGTCTGATTTGTGGACGGTGCATAACTTTTGTACAGTACGACTTAGATTGTAAAAACGTTGTATGCAGAAGCATTATGATGTGTCAAATACAAAGATCAGGTCATGCTGACATTGACCTTAAACCCTATGATACCTATTTCTGTTCAGGCAGATCTTTTCTCTGTAGAACTTAGGTTAACCAAAATAAGTCAAATTAAATGTGCAGATTTATTATAGGAGGTTGATTTCTCAATAAGATTAGGTCATTGTGGCTTTGACTTTTCAACCTCAAAACATGGATTGATATTTAATATTGATATGATTGAAAACCAAACAGTTATAACTGTCATTGGCTCAATACTGTATTTAACAGCAGCAACTAAAACGCATTACGGGGGTTATAAGTCATGCTATGCAGACAACTTCAGTTGTTTTTGTTTATGTTTTGTCTTTTTTATTGTTGGATTGATTCTTTTAGTTGGTATTTTGCTTGATTACAATGTAATTTGGCATATGTAAAATTCATCTTACGGCTGAGTCTATTTCTTGAAAGTCTAGCTGTAAGCTTACAAAATAGAGAGCTGTTGCTTAAATTCTAAATATGCATATAATTGACAGGAATACCAGATGTGATAAAACAGATGTCGCTAAATGACAAAGAAAATGTTAATAAGGCATAAAAGCGTGGTACAACTAAACGATATATCATAAGAGTAATGGTCGTGGGAGAAAATTCAACTGGAAAGACTTGCCTATGTAGACGATTGATGAATAAAGAGACAATAGATGATGTTGGAAGCAAAAATGTGATCAATATTGAAAGAAGGCAATGTCAGATTGACGTAAAAACGGGTGAATGGCATTTTTCTACACGTAAATAATTACTTTACCTTGTATTTAACCTGTGCCTAACTTAAACATAGTTTATAATCAGTCTACACTAAAGGTTTTTTTAAATCACCAAGTCGCAATTAGTCAGAATTATGCATTAAAGGAGACGAGGAAAACTCAATTTATTTAGAGTTCAACTTACGGTCTTCAAACAATTTACGATGATAATTAAATTTGTTTTGATAATGATTCGACTGTTATAACTTTTATTGGTTGGTGGAAAATCAGAATCTCTCGAAAATTGAAACCTCATACATATAGTATAAAAAGCTATCAATTACTTTACTCAGTGTGACCTAATTTAAATAGATGATATTTGATTTATGAAATTAATCCCGTAACACTTATATTGATTGATTGATTGGTGCTTAACGCCATTTTCAACATTATTGTGCTATTTTGTGGCGGTCAGTTTTTATTGCTGGAGAGAACCACCGACTTTCGGTAGGAAAACTGACAATCCTAGTCAATTAAGATTGGAATCGAGTGTACCTGCCCCGTGCGGGATTCTAACTCACAACATCAGTGTTAACTGGCTAGTGATACGTAACACTCATAAGGCAACGGTCAATAGGTTATCACACATCAGCAGTACGAACACCAAATGGTTTAACTAATGTTTGCGTATAAGCTATAAGCAATGTAACATAATCACAAAAGCGGAAAACCCAATTTACTCGCAAACATAATACTTAGAGAACATTAAAAAGAGGCGAAAGACACCAAAGGGACATTCAAACTCGTTAGTTGAAAACAAACTGACAATGCCATGACAAAAACCAAAAACTGATCAAAAGACAAACACTAGTATACAAAACGCAGCATAGAAAACTAAAGACTGAGCAACACGAACTCCACCAAAGATCGCAGATGATCTCCGGTGCTCCGGAAAGGTAATGTAAAATACACATCGTTTATAACACTTCTCACTAAATATTCTTAATAGAATAACAGATTTTACTGTGCCAACGTATAAAAACATATAAACCGTCAGCAGATACATTGACAGTATCAATAAAAAGAAGGGATACAAAAATATCTGTAATTTGTGTCTTTTGTGTTTTTATTAGTTGTCTTTGTATCGATCTATATAATAAGTAAAGCTTTTTTCAACTGATGTTTATAGTTTGCTCTTATGTTGTTCTGTTACAACACTGTCCCAAGTTGGAAGAGGTTTGGCGTTCCCGCAAACAAGTTTAACCCCGCCACATTGTGTAGTCACGAGCCTGTAATTCAGTGGTTATCGTTTGTTGCTGTATATCATATTTGTTTTTCTTTTATTGTTTTGTTAACAAATCAGGCTGTTAGTTTTCTACTTTGAATCGTTTTACATATGTTATATCGGGGCCTTTTATAGTTTGCTGTTGCTCATTGTTGAAGGCCTTTAGATGACCGATAGTTGCTAAGTTTCTACGTCATTTGGTCTCTGGTGGAGAAGTGTCTCATCGGCAACCATACCACATCTTCTTATGTTTATACAGATTCTGATTTTCGTGCGCACAACATATTTTTAGTAATCATTCAGTAAAATATATAACCAAATTGTAAGATCCGAAACCGCCTAGAAACATCTGAGCCAATGAAAAGGAAATTGTTGCAGTTGTATACAAAAATTCTGTAGAAGGTGTAAATAGAAACTGGATACTCAGAATCTGTAATCATAATCATAATTAGCCGGAATTAATTACAAGTAACACCACGCTATCTGTATCTTTTAAAGTTTTATTTTGATCTGTAAACAGTCATTTTATAATTTGAGCTCTTCTTAACTTAGTGAATTGAATTTACATCAAGCCTATAATAACGATTCAGTAAATCCTGATTTCTAGAAAATTATGAAAAGAACACTTCCATGAATATTTCAGATCATGAAATACTTTTCAGTATTTATAAGAAAAATTATTAAAATAATTACTCAATTTATGTCCAGCAGAAATATTGTTAAAGGGTTCTAGAGATAATGTTTCCTAAACCATTCAATATTTTTTTTTAATTGAAAAGAATGAACTCAATCTAGAGGTATAGATTTGTAAAAGTCATGCTCTACATACATGTACTTTTTGATATAAAATAGTGATATAAGTTTTCCTTTCAAACTTTATAAGACAATATTAATTGTAATCAAATTAGAAGCAACAGAAATATTTTGTTGTTTCCAATCTAAAATTGCCAAAAATAGAAACAAAATGACCGGATGTTTATAAACTGATTTTGTAAAACGGTGATCATGAAGACAAAAATCATACTAACACTAAATTTTTTTGGGGTCGTTTGTTGCTGTTTTACGACACTTTCAGTAATCCTAGCTTTATCATAAATATAAGTCTCTTGTAGACGTGGGTAGAGTTCCCGGAGAATGCAACTTTCCTTCGGAAATAAAAACCTAGCAATTCTTGTCAAAAAGGAATTCAAAGACACGTTGCCTCGAGCGCGATCACTGTAAATGACCCATTCCGACCTTCATAATGTTTTGTGTATTTTCGTATACCTGATAAATTGAACAACCTAAATAAATCATTAAGTAATTTAAATTGAATTCGTTTTAAAACATATAATTGACAGTACTATATCTGGTTATCTAAGTCTTATCAAAACCAGTTACAATCCATAGCAAATTACTCAAAACTATCTTTTTTCCCAAAACAATATCTTTGTATAAATAAAGGCAGTTGGGAAGCCTTAAAAAACGTAAGATGCACGTCAATGATAAAAATTCAATATGTGACACACTTTCTTATTTTGATGTAATCTCAATAGTATTGATTTGTACTTTAAGTAACCTTATCATATCTTTTCTTTTACTTTTTCAACAACTGGGAAAACTACATCAACAAGTGTTTTACAGAAATCAGATATTAATGAATTATCAATGGTAATTTTCAAATCGATAAACATTTTTAGGTCTACACTTGACATATTATTTTATCTAGGTTGTACCAATAAAAAAGAAAACTAATGAACACTAAGGTTATCAATTTAACATAGCAGAAACTAGTTGTAATTGGATTTAAACTAGCTTTCAGTAAGTGCGAGTACTCTTATACCGTTGTTTTGTGTCTTTTGTTTTTATGTTACTTGTAGTTGTTTATTGTACTTTGTGCCTATCTATCGAGTAAAATCATATACAACTGACTTTTATGCCTGTTGGTCGGGATTTTTATAAGACCGTGTCGACTAGTCCGTGGTTCCCTAAAGAAACAACTGTATGTCTGTCCATCAGTCCACAGTTTATGTCGTTATTAAAAGTCAAGAATACCTTATCTCATAGCAATTATGTTAATGAAGAGTTATCATATATATATATATATATAAGAGGAATTTCTTTGTCGATCTTTTATGAAAAAAGAGGAATATACATCTAAAATGTCATTATTTTGGTTAAGAAATTAAAACATTTTGTAGAAATATCTTTTAAATTTGCGACATGTGAAAATTGGGGAGGGGCAGGGGTTAAAGTTTATCTTTAAAAAATATCAAATTATGATTTTCATCTTTATGTGGTAGGATTTCAACAACAATTCATATTAAGATATATCATGGAATTTGAGATTGATTACCAGAATCAAATTTCCAAATATTTTGAATAAAAAAAAGTCACAAATTTGATGAAACCTTTTCTGTTCCAGGCCTTCAGCAAAATTAAATTAATTGTATTATGCTGTTCGAAATTGATTATCGGTGTTCATATTGCATTGTCTAAATTGCGATGAAGGTAAGAAGGAATAATACTATTAAACGATCGAAACCCTGCCTTTGTTGTATTAGATTGATTGGTTGATTGGTGTTTCAGCACTATTGGTTGTTTCGTGACAGTCAGTTTTTATGGAGGAAGCCTGCGTGTTAGCTGTTATTAGCCGTGCTGCTTGACTAGGCCTTTACATTTAAGACTTTTTTTAAAGATACAAACCATAAGAAAGAAAACGTTATGGTGAAAAATGAAAACAACACTATATAAATTTCATGCGTCCGAAGCGGTTCTCTGGATTTTTCTTTATTAGGAACGCTCAAAGGATGTATAAGAACCGAAACATTTCAAAAGCTGTATGACCGAAAAGGACATAAAATTAATACCCAATATAAAATTAATACCCAATATGTAGTATGATTGTCAATGAGACAACTACACATCAAAGTTCAAATTAAGTGGTTTTAATCAATTAAAGAAACCGTACTGCCTTCAAAAATGAGAAAAAACCCATACCAGATAGTCGACTATAAAAGGCCAGTTGATTAGGAAGAGACAAATCTATCTTAGGTAACTTATTATCTCAAAACTGAGCGAGACTGGATGTATCCGCAAGATAAGCATATTCTGCTATGTATATATTACAAGCAAAGCGAATCCAGACTGGTTACGATCGGGAATAGAAAAAAAATGATAAATTTACAGACAAAGCTTGGAAGTCGGTCCTGCCACACTCAATGTACGTTGTTTGACATTTTCACAACCTACTTTGATATTATGACGTACACCAATGCGCAAACCTTCAATATATTTCCAGGAAAACTCCCATAGAACCCTTCTCATTCCGGGTTGCATTATTATCTTGGACGTCAAGTTATTCTTTTTGTTATTCTCCCTCTGTGAATGACCATGGATGTACTATTTGTAGATAAATTTTCACAGTTTTTGCTTTTGATTTGTTACTAATTTCTTTAAGGATCTGCTGCTAGTTCTTTCCTGATCCAATCGCATTGTTTGATCACCTTTGATAACTATTTCACGATCATGCAATAGCGAATTACAGCCGTAGTGGTTGTCGTCGTTGGTTCATTAGATTAAGGCGACAATAGTTCACCAATGTTCAAATTTGTTTTTTTTTTTTTTTTGATGTTCAAATCTTGCCAATCGGTTTCGAAGAGACAAATCAGTCATATTTGTTTTTCCTTAAATTGTATTAATGTTATAAATTATGCCGTAAGTATTATGATTTAAAATCTTTCACTTTTTATTGCCTGTGCCTTTTGAAGCCGACTTTACTGTGTGGGTTTGTCTCATTGCTGAAGGCAGTACAGTGTCCTTTAATTGCTTGAATACTGTTAAAAACAAATTAAATCTTAGAGCATGTTATTTGTCGTATATTCGTGGGAATTTATTCGACTCTTATCTGTCATTTCTTTTCATTTACAGCCGTCGATGAAAACATTTCCTGTTGGTCTGATCACATAGAAAAATATGGAGACTGTGGATTTTGGGATTTTGCCGGACGAAAAGAATTCTATGCAATACATCAAACCTTTCTAAGTACAAATGCTGTCTACCTCTTGGTTATAGATATATCCAATTTTTTCCCAAAGAAAACATACGCGGGCACTGAAAAAGAATTCGGTAGCATTGAAGGTATATATGTACTGTTAATGTCTAGTTCCATATAAATAAAAAAAAAAGTCACATTGAATAAAGTTTAGACGCCAATATTTTCAAAAAAATAGTTGTTTTTATTATTGATAATTCGGTAAGTACATGTTTAATTTCTCATGTTCCTGTCCAATGTGAGGATCCTGTAAATCATTGGTTGTCGTTTGTCATTTTTGATTTTCTTGATCGTTTTGTCATCAATCAGGCTTTTCGTTTTCTAATCTTGTCATGTCTTTTACAGCTGAAGATATACGGTACGGTTTTTGCGAACTTTTGAAGTCCGTACATTAACACTAAGTTACTTACATCCACGTCATTTGGACTCTAGTAGATAATGGTCTCATTGTCAATTATACCACATCATCTTTATTTCTATATGAAAAAGTAAATGTTCGTATATATACTGGACTGACAATGTAAGTTGCAACCACAAATTGGGCTTTACTCTGTTACCCTATCTTAAAATATATATATAAAAAAAATATAAAAAATGTAAATATGATACATAGTTATTTGTTATAATTTAAACATTATTATATAAATCAGTTAGGCAAAACTGTAGAAATGATAAAGGAAAATTTCTTCTTAAATAGTTGATTCGATTGATAACCATGTTTTTCGGATTAAAAATTCGGATATGAATTTTGGGAGTTACAGCTAGCGGGCAGGAAGTGGTGGATGGATCTTGGCATTAAGTAGGGAACCCTTCAACCAATACAGTTTAAATTTTGCTATGTTTTTACTGGTGACAAAACGGAGGATAAGATTGGTTCCGACAATTTTTACTTTTGCTTATATTGTCATTGCTTGTTTTAATATTCACACTTATAAATGTCAGAAATCCCCAGTTGCTTTTATTTTGACAACCTATTGTAGCTTTGATATTGATATTAAAATTCAGTAGAGAATTTTCTAGAAAATTAAGAATCATGTTTAAGTCTTGATTTTTTGTAAATGATATTGTTAAGTTCAATTTGGATTGAATAGTTCTGTCTACCGCATAAAGACCGGAAGAAATCAAATATACCAAATATAGTTGCGATCTATATGGTATTGAAGTAGAAGAAAAGTTTTTTTGTGTGTCGGTGTGGTGATAATTGCTGACAGTACAGGTTTTGGGATATACTATTGATAAATACTTTCATGAATTCCCTGAACCACAAATATCTGTATAGGGCAAAAATATATTGTCTTGAAACAATATAATAAACATTTATTGTCGATTTATATCCACTATGACTTTGAAAGTTTTACATACTGATGGAAAATCAGTAAGTCTCATTCTTTGCAGGATATATTTTCAAGCTAAATTCGGTGAAAGTTGAACAAGAAATTGAAAGGATTTCATCCTGAAACTAAAATTGTCAAAAAATAATGACATTGAACTTTGACTTCGTGAGCTTAACATTAATATGGTTTCCTTCAAATCCTATGCATTATGCGACCAATTAGTTATATATATATATATAACTTCCGGATGACAGGATGGCATTCATTATAAAAAAAGCGGAGTTCGAGCTACTATGTTGCAACTTGTCTAGTAAAGTATACATCCACGTGGGGTTGGGGCTGGGGGTTCTTCCTATATAATGGTAAACACAGACGTGCCGCTGGTATAGGTAACTTTTTTGGAATGTAAAATATAACAATGGGGTACAACTTCATGGAGTTGATATATCAATGTATAGAAATGTACATGTCAATGGGTTATAATATGGTTCGTTTTCTTTTAAGATGTCTTTAAAAAATGTGTTCTGATCTTTTTACCTTATGATATCATTGATCCAATGTCATTAATGTCTAAATAAGATGTCATGATAGCTGAAAATATATATAAATGGGTTGTGATTTTCTTATGAAATATCTGAATGGGTACGGATTTTGGCATAAATCAATATATGAATGGGGTGTTTTTTAAACCCCAGCTGGACGTCTGTACCAAAATTTGTATTTTGAGACCCCACGTGTATACATCTCTTGATTTCTATATTTATATTACATATATAAATTTCAGCTGTATCAATCACTTCATCTCTTTATCCTTTTCAAAATGCACCAAAAAAACTCACCAGGCATATAATTGCATACACTACATACGCATTCCTAAAATCTTTTTCTTTCTCTTTGATATCTTAAAATATCCGCCGCGAGCCACAATGTGAACCTGGTAAGCGCAGCAAACGGACTGAAAGCATTGCATTGTGTCCAGCGGCTGATATGTATACATTTATAAGATTAAACCCCGATAATCCATTAATCGTACTATTTATGGTATTTCACCTGTTCCAAAGACATGTTGACGCTTTATTTTTCTAACGAAAACACGCTTGATACGTTTTCTCTTACCTTGTGACGTTGCTGATGACTTCACCTTACATATGGTGACATTGCTGATCGATTTCCCAATGCACAAAGCCGTGATATGAGATTTAAGAAAAGACTGGGGAAGGTGATGGAGACACAAAGAAATGCGAAAATGACATTCATTTCTCGTCCTTGCAATTCGAAACCAACAACGCGTTATTCCAAAGTATTGAAATTTCAAAAGAGCAACTAACCCACACAATGATGTTAAAAGCTGTTGATGATTATTTTCAATGGACTCTTAATTATCATATACGTATATTTTTCTATTGAATATAATTTTAAACTACATTGAAAAAAGCAAAAAGTGAAGTGAATCAGATAGTATAGATAAGAAATACAAACAAAACCATTTCTTAAATTTTTTACCTAGAGCCACATACAGGGAATGTTCAAATCTAATTTTGTTTCCTCAGTAACATGAACACACATGGTTGCTAAACTAAACCATATATACTTAATCTTAAAATGAGTTCTTACCAACCAATAAGTAACTTTTCTAGTCCTTTATTTGTTGATTCTCTTTGTGCATGTAAGTTTGGAAATAAAATGCACAAAGTGTAAACTTAACAGCATTAATTGAAATATATATTTTAGATGTAACGAAACTGTATTTCAAGGTTCTTTTCCTGGTATGATGTATTTGTAAATTCATAAAACTGCGTATCTCGCATGGTCATGCATTACTATTCGAACTATTAAACATACGATTTAGACTAATCTTCATCTGTATAATCTAACTTTTTTTTCAGACTACATCTTCTTTTGGCTCAAGAACATAAATTGTTATAGCACAGACACACGTATTATAATAGTTGCTAAAGGGATCGACAAAATTTCATTGGTATGTGTATCTAACTATGAATTACTAATTAATTAAAATAGTCACAAATTGATATAAAAATAAGGAGTTGTTATGATTTATGTCTACACATCTTCCTTGTTAAGGGTTTATTTTTCCCACAATCTTAGTAGATGCCTGTTGTGAAATATTAATCCCTACTTTCGGTACGTGTCTGTCCGAAGTCAGGTGCCTATAATCCAGTGGTTGTTGGTGCATATTATATTTGTATTTCGTTTTGTAAATAAAGCATTCCGCTGGGTTTCACGATTGAATTGATTTCACATATTGTCATGTTGGGGCGTTTTATAGTTTGCTAGTCGGAATGGGGTTTTTCTCCATGTTGAAGTCCGTGCGATGACACATTAGTTACTTGCATCTACGTCTTTTTGTCTCTGGTGGATAAATGTCTCATTGTCAGTCATACCACATCTCCTGTGTTACACTAAAAAAGGATAAACAGTTTTGCATTGTGCAGTTAAGATTTTTTTCTCAAAAATCATACTAATTTACTTTTAGTTTTATTTGTCAATTTAATCATTTGTTAAAGATCTTATACTTCGATTTATTTAAATTGGTGGTAGTAAGAATTCAGATGCTGATATATACATATGTAAAATCAAGAAATCGAAAACGATCTAATTGTTCTTGCGTTTCTGAAGAGGACGTCCGTTTCGCCTGAATACTTTGTACTACATCAGGCTTCTATTTGAGTATTCAACATAGGCATCACGATTAGTTTTGCGTGGATTTTTGTCAGAAAATTATAAACTCAATGCACTACTATTACTAATCGATTGAAGAATTCGTCCTAACAAGCGGGCATGTGTAGCATTTCCTTCGATTGTTTTAGTATCAATGCATGCTATTATTTAAGATGTTTGAGGCAGAATAATGATAATGTCTGCGTTGGTGGGGAATGGGGGCAATATGAATGGTATATTATGATTTGCTCCATTTATAAAAAGTTACCCATGCTTCTGGCGTAGATAGTTTAGAGTCACTAGATTTTGTTTCAAAACATAATTATCATGAGTCATTAAACCTCTTTCTCTAAAGGGAAACAATTTCGTAGCTAGTAAACGGACTCGTTGATTTAGTCTTTTGTACATACTAGTATGATGTCGTATGTCCTGTTCTGGCGTCAAACTTTATCATCAGACATTTTAAAACTTTTTGTACTCTTCAAAGTGTTATATAATTGACAAAAATAAGATTTTCAGGTTAAAAGTGCGAGTGTTTTGTAGTGTCTTAAAGTAGCACATGCAGGTATATATTTTTTTATCACATATTTGCATTGACCAGGTGAAAAATAGCTTGTATGCAAATTTTCGTAAAAAAATCACCGTGGGATCAAAACTGTTACGTATGCCCTTAACGCCTGTGCTGTTAGAATACGTATAGATAATGTTTTATAGTTATTGTCAGAAATATGCAAAATTCGATGAATTTGTTAACGGTATGAAACTATTCTAAATTCATGAAACGTTTTCGTAATAATAGCTATTGCTTAAAAAATATGATATGAAAAGGTCCAATGCATATTGTAGTTGTGTGTTTTCTTGTTTGTTTGTTTGTTTGTTTGTTTTTGTGTGCTATTAAGGGTGTATGTATTTTTGGAAACGTTTTGGCGAGTTTTGTCTGACCTTAAAGGATACAATTGCTACATGATGAAAGATTGATCTATTCTTTGGTTACTTATTTTCATTATTGTCACAAAAACTCGGCATGCATTCCAAAATATAGTGTAGTCCCTTTCGCGATGTAGATGTAAACATACAATCAATTCTCTCAAAAACGTTATAAACGTGTATCTATTTAATCAAAACAAACAACAGACGAAAAATTTACTTTGGATTTATCAACTTATTGAGACTGACATGGCTGAAGAAAGAATAATCAGTTAACAAATTTGAGAAGATAACATTAACATGATTAAAAACCCAACTAAAATTTTTCACTTTATACCTTGTTTATGTCGTTTTTGAATTGATTTTTTTCCCCAGCATGAAATTGAAGAAAAAAAGAAAATGATTCAAGAATGTCTGGGTGCAATTCCTTATGTCCAGAGAACAATACATTGCTTGTCAAATACGCTTCCATCTTATAAAAAGCAAGACTTTGAAAGTCTACGAAGATATATTTACCGGAATGCACAGGCATTAACATATTGGGGAGTCAATCTGCCAACGAGATGGATAGTTCTTGAAAAAAAATTTCAAATACAAAAAAGTAAAAAAATCATTTCGTACACTGAAGCTATAAATTTAGCAACGTGTTGTTCATTACCGGATGTCACAGCTTCAACTTCTGAATTAGACTCTTTTCTAAGGTATGAGCACGATATTGGTAACATCGTATTTTTTTAAGGATTTGCAAAAAAGCTTTATTGTGTTAGATCCTGAATGGTTGATTAACGTATTTCAATATTTTGTCATGCATCATTATAAAAATGAGTCTTCAGGTCTGACGGAATGCACAGTATAAGCGGAAACGAACAAATTATGAGATAACCTGACTGACAAATCACTAGGAAAAGGTTCGAATCTGAGATTGACACAAGAGGAAGATGTTTTACAAATAGTGGAAAACTTTGACTTTATTGTACGACTAAGAAATAATTATGCAAAAGAATACTTCTTAATTCCATGCATGATCAATGCTTCACCACTTTACAACATAATCATAAAGGTGGAAACAAAAGATTGGAAACGAACCTCATGGTTTTGCCTGAAATTCTGTTTTTTACCACCGTCATATTTCAATCATATTTTAGTTTTCTTTGTAAAAAACTACAAAGCATTGACAAAAGAAGATGAACAGCTGTGCATATCTTGCAATTTTGGACAATTTCTACTAAATGATTCAGGTAGCGAAATTCTCGTCATATGCGCCACAAGAAATTCCATTGCTGTACAGGTGAGGTATCGTAGTAAAACACTCGTTTGTTACAGTTCTGTTAAAAACAAACTGATTGATCTTGTTCATTCATTGAATCTAAGATATCGTATAAACATAACTTATAACAAACTATTTAAATGCTCAGATGGAGATTATTCCATGAAGGAGGGAAGAATTGGTTATGATATTGTATTGCAGAATAGGTACTTCTGTGAGGCACACAATGGCGGGCATGTTAGCAAGGAAGTATACAACAGCTGGATGACGGTATGTAAAAACAGTATTTGATTTCTATAATCTACTTGGAACGTTTCAATATATGTTATTCATATGTAAATGATCAATACAAATTGATTGTACATTCAAATACAGAATGAATAAATATTTTAGAAGGTGATTTTTTTTTATTAAACTGCGTATTGGAAGATTTCAATGTATTGAATTTTAAAAAAACTAAATCAAACAGCTGTACAAATAGTAAATGTTTTTAACAGAAACTTTTTGACGAGTAACATTTTTCAAAAAGACTCTTGTTTGACGACTTTAATGAATCAATCTAATATACAGCTATATCATATATCAGTCGAAGGCATATTTATTGTACTCCCTTTTTTATGGTCGTAAAACAAAACCGGTGCAATTTCAATTTAATCAATCATGTCAATATCTAAAGTCAAGAATGAATATTTCTCAAGTTTGCTACTATTAAACAAAACGGCCCTTTTTGGTTCTTTGATAATATTTGTTTCTCCAAAAAAAAAAAATTAAAAAGAATCTCATAGAGGAGGCTACAATTATTCCAAATCAAACGCAGAGGTCAAAGGCACAACAAAAACACAGATTTCCAATTCTCAACAAAGAATTGTTTTCTTAAAATTTTGATAACGGTTTAAACTGCAGTTATATAAAGTATTCTGTTAAAAGATTTTTATTGAAGCTTTAAAAGTGCCTCGAAATATCCCAATCAGCAAGTAGGGATTGTTTTCCCCTTTTCAATGTTTTGATAAAACACCAATATTAGAAAGAAAATGGTATTCCATAATTAAATAAAAATAAAAATATAAATTGTAGGCGTACGAAACGCTTTTCAGGATTTACCTTCATCAGGAATGCTAAAAGCCAAAATCTTCAACGTCATGGATGTATAAATATCGAAACACGTTATATGAAAAAAGGAACCTAAACTAAATTAAATAAATAGCCAAACCATCTAATTAAAGCCGGACAGGTATATACGAGATAGATACAGTAAGCATATGCTTTTTCGAAGTTGAACTTATTTGCGTTTTGAGGTCATGATGAGCTGTCAACACGACCTTGCTCCTTAATCGTTGGCAACATTTGAAATCAGTTACTTGCGTTTCCAACCACTAAGTTGTCCATTGCATAAAATCAACGAAATAGAAATAATGCTACCTGCAGTTTTTGTTAAGTTAAGAAGTGAAATGTCTTTCAATATTCTAATGAATTCTGTTTGCATCCTGAGATTTTAATTAAAAAATCCATTTAAGGAATATTATTTCTGTCTATTCGAAATAACATTAAAATGTGGTGCACACAGAATAACTTACATAGCGGGTTATTTAAAAGTGTGTACCCCATATTTGGTGTTATTTCGAATAGACAGAAAAAAAATATTACACTCATTCCTTTTAATTTAATTCTAAATTCCGTTTTTAAGGAATAAATCATGAAATAAACGTTGATGACGTCACGGTCACATGACAAAATTATGTCTATGAGCTGATAGACAAAAAAAAAACTTTCAGCATATCAGAAGACGTGTTACATCCAAAATTAAATTATTTGAATGGGTATGTAAGTATGAGTAGTTGATTTATTGAATATAACTAAACAATTATATTCGAAAACATTGAATACCCGTCTTGAGCACATGATAACACCCAGTTTTAGGTAGTGTTCGTTTTACATTTCGATGTCATTTTGTGAGGACTTGTTTTTCCTTCTGTCATGGTGTTATCTGTGTTTCTTCGAAATAAACATTTTGTTTTGAAATTATTTCCATGGATTCTACGAAAACAAATGAAAAGATACAAAGTTTGTTCTAAGTTAGGGGATTTGATAAAATCACAAGGGTACTTAAAACTCATATTATATATATAGGATATGTGATAAGTAGGTTAATTTACAATGCTCATAATCTGATGTTATTCAACTCGTTAGTTAAGTCGATCAGGGTTTATTATATCATGAATAATTGCATAATCAACGTTTTTGGATTTTTATGTTTTTAATGCTCTTCACCTTCTTTATAATATTTGCTTCAAATTGTCTTGATTAGAGTGTGACGATGCTGAATCATTTGTAGTCAAAATTTGCGTCTAGTGTACAAAAGAGTTTTTTACTAATCAGTCAAAAACCCATAAAATATAATACATACGGACGCAAATTTTCACTGTGAATGTACGCTAAATGTATTATTTCTTCATTTAGAAAAATAATATAAAAATAAGAAGATGTGGTATGATTGCAAATGAGACAACTCTCCACAAGAGACCAACTGACATAGACATAAACAATTATAGGTTACCGTACGGCCTTCAACAATGAGTAATACCCATATCGCATAGTCAGCTTTACAAGGCCCCGAAATGACAAATGTAAAACAATTCAAACGAGAAAACTAACGGCCTGATTCATGTACAACATAATGAACGAAAAACAAATATGATATTCTGCAACAAAAGGCAACCACTGATTTACAGGCTCCTTACTTGGTTACTTTAAATTAATATTTTCACAGAAATAACACATTACTACAACACTACTTTTTTCACAGGAAAAAGAGGTTAAAGAAGAAAATAGTAAGTGTTTTTGTTTTCACGATTTAACTTAACCATTTATTTTTCACTATTTCCAATTATTTACACTAATATATAAGCGTCCTATCTCTTTCTTGCTGGGTAATATTTAAGAATGTCTTTTCCTTTTCTTATACATTAGTTTGTATTTTGACATGTATTTCCATATTTATTTCCCTTTCGATATTCAAATTCCATATCTTATGAAGATACATATAGATGAAGATAGATCCAGATGTTTTGTGCTTCGGATGCATAAAATTTATAAAGTGTTTAAAATGTTTACTAGCACTGGGTCGATAACACTACTAATGGACTTTTAGTCCAAAATGGAATCATTAGTCAGAAGTCAGTGCTGCGGACCTGATATGATTAATAACATATTTTCCAAAAATTCTCTATTGATAAATGATGATATTCATATGAAAATCACGATGCAACCCTTTGAGGCAAAGTTGACCTTAGCCAAATTTGGCTATTCTTTTTATGTCTTTTGTAAGGGGGTTGGGGTCGTATTACTCAGTAGTTTTCTATGATGGTGCTTTGTATACTGTTTTTTATCTTTTTTTTTGTTTTTGTTTTTTTCTTTGCCATGGAGTTATCAGTTTATTTTCGACTTATGAGTTAGAATGTCTTTTTTGTATCTTCCGCCTCTATTTTCTATTGTTACCGACTCTTAAGTGAGTGACAGTGTCATGATCTGGTTGTTTCTAATATGGACTGGTACTTCAATATAAGATTTTTTCATTTTATTTTTAGCTCGTCGTTTACATAGAAAGTCTGCGGAGGTAAGTAATATTTTTGCTATTTTTAAAATATTCATAAATGCATTTCATGGAGAGGTTATAATTACTGCAGTATAAAATATCTTTAGTAGAATCAATCAGATGAACTCAAAATATTCCATTTTTGTGGAATGGTCCTTTAGTAGTGATTGCTGATGTTTACACTAGAGTTAATAAAATGAATATAGCTTGAAGGGAATTTACTTCATAATGTATGCTTCTGTAAATACATTTTAAACCAGAAAGATCTAAAAACAACCTTACTGAGGAAAAACAACAAGAACACAATTAACTTTAAAATGCTATGGAAATTCAATTCGGTCAGAGTAATAAAAGTTTTTTTTTTGTTTAAAAATTAAATTTACTTTCATAAAATTTTATGAATATTCTGTCAGGAAACATATTCTTGTAGACTGATAGCTTTGGGGAATAAATGTAAGTCATAACTTTACTCAATGGTAAAATGTTATATAGAAGTTACCACGTTATTGAAAATAAATAGAATCGAAAATCATATCTCCAATAAAAACAGACAACACCGAAGCCTAAATATAAAAAAAAACAAACAAAAAAAACAACAAACAGCAATAACACAACATTATACACAAAACTTAAAATTACGTAACATGAACCCTATCGAAAACGCGGGTTAACTCGAATGGTAAGGTATTACTTATTTCGAGATTTGAAAATATTTTTGTTTCTTGTCATTGGGTCTTTTGTAATTCCAATCAAAGTTATGCTTTTAGATTACAATCCATATTAGTTTGTCAAAACAAACGGATGCAATCAGTTTAAAAAGAATAAAAGCCTGTAAAAGCTTAGATCATCATTTCGTTTTCACTTAAATTGATTTAAAAGTTTTGAGAAGCGTAGTTTTAGACCCAATTAACGGCTTGAAATAAAAGAATGATATTTCTTAGTGAAAATATTGTGGAAAAAAAGGGGAAATACGTGAAATGTGGTAAAATGTTTAATGCGTAATTTATTCATTTTTATTAAAGAGATACGGAATAATCATTGGCTGTATTGTTTTAGTTGTAAATAATTTAATTTTGGATGTAACGCGTCTTCTGATTGGCTGACGTTGTTTTGTTTATTAGCTCATAGACAATTTTTTTTCATGTGACCGTGACGTCATCAACGTTTTTTCATGGTTTACTCAGGTTTAAAATAGAATTTAAAGTTAAATTATAAGAAATGACTGTTATATTTTTTCGGTCTATTCGAAATAACATAAAAAATGTGGTGCACACTTTAAAAAAACCCGCTACGCGGGTTATTCAGTGTGCACCGCATTTTTGATGTTTTTTCTTCATAGACAGAAAAAATATTACAGTCATTCCTTAAATGTTTTGTCATTTATGGATATTGTGTTAATATCATAGCATTTCTTAGTTGAATTGATTCACAAATCAATTGTAAACGTATGTTAACCTCTAGAATTATGTACTTTGTTTACATTACATTGAAATAAATTCAAATCCCCCTGTATTCATATCCGTATACTGACTTGCGTTGTTTGTTTAATAACAAAAATAAGACTTTTACTATTTGGCCTCTTTTTGTTTCAACGTATAGGTGGTTTTCCGACTTCAATGAAACTTTGTTCATGTGCTATTTTGATTCGAATGAATATGTTGAGTAAAACATACCAAATCATATGTTTTGATGGTAACACCCTTTCTAGTGTTATTTAGCTGAATCATAAGTATTATTCATCAAGCTTATATATATATATAAAAAGAAATAGATTTTGTCAGCGTAAAAAATCGGCATACGTTTTTTGAGGTAAACAGAGTTGAATATGAATGAAATCGTCATTTTCGTAAGAAAGGATTCAATAGTTTGCATAATTCCATTATCATATGACAAAATTCGATATTCTATATGTAAGTCTTACCAGCACACCAGTACTTATGTTCCTTTGTTGTAGGTGTCATGTCCAGGTCCAGCTGCTAATCCTGTACAACTTACAACTTACAACTCCCGTTAGTGCCGTGTGTCGCATAGGACGGAACTAATTTCTCATGCTCATTTAAATACAAAATGTTCAAAATATATGTTAAAGTAAGAAATGTTACTGGTTAAAGTTTTGGTTCAAGGTAGACTAAAGTTTTGGTTTGTGGTAGTTTCTTGTTACATAAGCTAGAAACTTAGTACATATGTTTACTATAAAGTGAACTGTTTAAAAGTTATGTCAAATTAGGATTTTCATCAAGATTTCACAGTTCACTGACCATAGAAATGTAATAGGTCAAAATTTTGGGTCAAGGCAGATAACATTTTTGATTCAGGTAATTAGTGATTATATCAACTTTAAACTTTTCATTATTTAGCAAATTAGGGTTTTTGACCAAGATTTCACGGTTTATGGAAAATGGAAATGTGAAAATATGCGTTGGGGGCATATTATTCTTAAGAATATATTCTTGTTATATTTATTGTTTATCTTTGAGTTTCGAAATTTTCATCAATTCTACTTTTTGCTGTTTAAGGCAGTTTTGCATCAATATTGCAAGTTTGTCATGTTTCTGTAATCAAATTGCATAAAAGAATATCTTCAACCTAAATGAATTAATTTAGATCTGATACTAGAGGTAATTGGTACTTCTAATGTCGATATGATAGCTTTTGTTACCCTGATTCGAAAAATATATTGTTTCCATATACTTTTGTTGCAATAATCGAAACAATTTCAGGTTTACAAAATATCACTTCCAGTTCACACTGAATCTACAAATATATGCTTTCTACGTGCTTTCTATGAAATCAGTGCAAAAAATACCACCTCTGGATTACGCAAGGTGACTTCCAGATGACCCTTTTCAAAGTTGTATGTCATCAAGCTAATGCAAAACACCTTATGGCTTTTTAATATACCAGTATCAAGTTACAACAAATGTCAGAATCTAGAACGTCAAATCTAACTTTGACCTTGACCTCAATTAACGGGAATTTCCCTTAAATCAAAAGACACCAGGTCAATGGTATGTGTGGTTAAGAAGTTATCCTACCAAACAGCTGATTTTGAATATAAAAGGGGTAAAATCCGATATAAAGTCATCAGAGCACTTTGACCGACATTTATTGGCGTAGCGCCATGTCCCACCTGTCAATTTGTGTAAATCAAGTGTCAATAACTATAACAGTTTCTAATGAATTGCGATAACAAGCTTAGTTAAAGATTTAGAAGATAACTCTAAGTCTCTATGACATATGGTTTATGAGTTACCCTAGTATACCACTCATGTCAAACACACAAAGGGAAATGACACTTATTATAATGTAACCAGATCGCTTCAGTCCAAATTTAACAGATCTTATTGAGAAAGTAACGAAGCAGTATACGGGGAGATAACTACCATATGGAACAGTGTTCGATTAAAAAAGGGTAAGTTTCAAAAGTGCCATAACTGTTCGGTATCATATACCAAATATCTAATCGATATGTTGCGAAACAAAAGCGATATTTCAGAAACAAAATTGGTGGAAAGACCACAAATAAAAATAATCGAAACAAAATCAAAAGGTCTTTCCACGAAAAGGTGAAAAAGACCTAATAATAAACAGATGTCATTATGTAACAGTAACAGTAAATCTCAATTTAACACCATTGTTAAAAGACCATATATTAATCACAACAGCAATTAATCAGAAACTTCTGTTCAATTCGCAAAGTGCCATTGTTATTCGGATTTCAGTTTTATGATTTTTTTTATGTAATTGCTACAAAGTCTTTAGGGTTTTAGTTTGAAATAAATCAATGTCATGATATCATTTTTTTTTCCAAAAGATAATATTTCCTCTTCACAGTCTATGTAGTTTTTATGAGAACAGTGATATTGTTCTACTATAACTGCGAAAATATCCATTTCAAATAAAAAATATTATATTGTAGAATGTAATTGTTTATGAACCTTCCTGTTTTATGATCATTTGCAATTTATACTAAAGAAGTATTAAAAAGACCCACCAAACTCCAAGGTAAATTAAAAAAGGGTGAGGTCCATAAAATCTGACAAAATCAATCGCTCGACTATATCAACCAACGAAACGTATGGAAAACAACTGTCGTATTCCATGGTACATGCATTTCTGAAGAAAAAATGGTGGATTAAACCTGGTTTTAAAAACAAAGAGTTGGAAATCCCTCTGCATGATACCCAAATTACACTAATCATAACTGCCAGGTGTGCCAAGTGCCCCACGGATTTACTTCCAAATTACAACATCTGTTTCACCAGCATAGTGAAAAGCGTGATACATCGTTGCTATCAAATTACTTTATGTATTGGTAATTTTAAATTCTAAACAAAAACAAGATCTGTTAGTAAGAAAAGTATTTTATTTTGAATTCTATATATACTTCTTTACACTTTAAACAACTTTCTGTAATCTAAATTCAGCAAACACACAAAGCTACAATTGGTTTTGGTGTGAATTGTGTTGCTCCATCTTTAGTTTCCCACGCAGCCTTGGGTGCACTCGTTTAACTTTATTCTTCTTTTTCCTGTTTGTTTATGATGTTTGCCCTACTTGGACTGACGATTTCTTTTATCTCTCACTTAATATATACCGAAACGATATCTTGTTATATCAAACATATATATATATGTGATGTTAAAGTTGAGTGATAAATAGATAAAAGTAAACCACTAATGCAGCGGTCACACATAGTCGATTATGGCTCCCGTTTGAGATCAGACAGTGCTACGACAGGAAAAGTACAAAAATTCGGATTACACTTCTCAATGATCGGGAATGTCCTATCATTGTCTGAACGCAGTGGTATACGTTCGCGACTGTCATGTGGATCGGGAATGATTCGGAGAGGCCGACAGAAAAATGCGTCCCGTAACATTCGGGAAACTCATCCAATTTTGCCCAGTCAGATTACAATCGTTACTATGTTGTGACAGGTTCTGCTGTATCGGATTAAAATAATATAAATGTCCTGCGTTGTTTCACTATTTGGGCACCGTCTGATCGCACCATGGAGAATCGTGACGCTGTCGGGATATATTCGGTCGGGGTTTTTTACAATGCGAAAGATACAATTTGGTCAGAACCGGATATTTTTTAGATGCGAAAGAAACAAATCGGATCAGAATCTAATTGAGGACAGGATAATCGGAACGCTTCATGAACAATATCTGATTGTTGTACGTGATTAAATAAAGAGTTTTACAAATTTCAATCCACTATTCAAAGTATCCTAATCCAACTTTTGTCAAATTGTCATCGGGAATGGTCTTATCAAGGAATGCAGTATAAATCCTTATGTGTGACTGAGGCTTTCGACAGATTATTATGATATTAATGAAAAATAATGCTAACGAAAAATTAATATTTTATTGAGAATGTGAATTAGACAAAACTATAAGGGAGAAGTTACCATAATGGCAATCAAACTCATGATTGGAAGGAGAGAGAAAAATTAGACAATCAATCAACAATTCACAGAAAATATAACAAGAACAAGTAAAATAACAAAAATACCGAACTCCAATGAAAATTCAAAACGGAAAGTCCCTTAACAAATACCAAAAAATCAAAAGCTCAAACACATCAAACGAATGGAAAACAACTGTCATATTCCTGACTTGGTACAGGCATTTCCTTATGTATTAAATGGTCGATTAAACCTGGTTTTATAGTTCGTTTAACCTCTTACTTGTATGACAGTCGCATAAAATTCAATTATATTGACAACAATGTGTAAGTAAAACATAAAGACATAATAGGTAAAAATGTCAAAAATTGGTCAACATTGGGATGAAATCTTCATCACTATAAAAACAAACAACTTTGTCAACAGAGAAAAACAAAATGGCATGTAGACACTCTATAGACAAAGCACAGAAGCAAAAATGAAAAACAAGAATACAAAAAATGACCATAGCACAATAACACAATGGCGGGGTGTATCAATAACGAGCCTCGCCAGAAGGTTATTACCAAAAATGAACATAAAGTAAAGATTAAAAATATACAAAGACAAATAAAAAGAACACATATTTAAGATGATAAACAACTTCAGTACCAAGAATCTATACTTCAAGACCATCATGTATTATTTGTGAAGTTGGTACGGAATATTTATCAACAAAGTGTTGATATCTTCCGATGAACTTTTTTTTAGAAAAAGGACGAGATGTTTTTTTACATAACCTTCATTCATAAACTTTCTGCTCAGACACTGGTGACGTTTTATAAAGTCTGAGTAGCAGCTGCAAGCTCTTGAATACCAAATGAGTTGGGAAACGTATATCCCATATGCAGGTGAAGTTGGTATATTGCTGCTTAGGTGGGGGAAATTGATAATTTCGAAATTAAAATCGTCTCGTTTGTTATAGATTCAGGTACTGAGATGACCGCTTATGTCAAATTCGAGGTACAAGTCTAAAAATGAGGCGGAGGGCGCCGTGTCTGTTGTTTCTTTAATTTCTAGTTGTAGGGGATATATTAAAGGAACCCAATCAGACAAGTTTGGATTGTTAAAGGAAAGAACATCATCAATATATCAGAATGTGAAATTTAATGATCAGGCTTCTTTGATCATTTTGTTTTAGACAAGTGTCTGAAGGAACTCCGACTCATATGAAAGTAATACAAAGCAGAATAACATCTAACAAAAACAACGGTGGTGGCAGTGTATTTATACATCCCTAATAACAAAAAAGACTGATAACAAATTAAATCAATATTTATACCAAACAAAAACAATATTCAAAGATCTGAGTACAGTGTTGAATTGGTAACCTTTTAGAATAAGTTGAAAGGATTGATAACTTTGCCCGGATCGTATCTAAATTTCCGGGCTCGGTAAACAACATCAACGTTAAAATTGTGATGTGCTATTCCGTTTGAAATACAGCTACAGCCAAACTTGCAAACCAAATCTGTGTATCTATGGAAGAATTTGGTAAAAGTTTTAAGTAATTTGTGGTAACGGAATCCCTGACTTAATAATTTACCAGTAATATATAGATTACGCTCATTTAAATCCA